GCCCCGCCCCCCCACAGCCTGGCACCCCGCCCCGCCCCCCCACAGCCTGGCACCCCGGCCCCGCCCCCCCCCAGCCTGGCACCCCGCCCCGCCCCCCCACAGCCTGGCACCCTGCCCCCCCACAGCCTGGCACCCTGCCCCCATCCCCCCCACAGCCTGGCACCCTGCCCCGCCCCCCCCACAGCCTGGCACCCTGCCCCCCCACAGCCTGGCACCCTGCCCCCGTCCCCCCCACAGCCTGGCACCCTGCCCCGTCCCCCCCACAGCCTGGCACCCCGTCCCCCCCACAGCCTGGCACCCCGGCCCCGCCCCCCCACAGCCTGGCACCCCGCCCCGCCCCCCACAGCCTGGCACCCCGGCCCCGCCCCCCCACAGCCTGGCACCCCGGCCCCATCCCCCCACAGCCTGGCACCCCCCCCACAGCCTGGCACCCTGCCCCCCCACACAGCCTGGCAGGACCCACTGGTGGGAGATGCCCAAGATGGGTTTGGCTAGCGGTGGAGGGACCCCGAGCATGTGAAAACTGTGTCTGTGTGTGTGTGTGTAGTGTGTATAGGGTGTGTAGTGTGTAGGGTGTGTGTAGTGTGTGTGGTGTGTGTGGTGTGTGTATATAGTGTGTGTAGGCTCTGTGTGTGTGGTGTGTGTGTAGTGTGTGTGTGTAGTGTGTATGTAGTGTGTAAGGTGTGTGGTGTGTGTAAGGTGTGTGTAGTGTGTGTGGTGTGTGTAGTGTGTGTAGTATGTGTAGTGTATGGTGTGTGTGTAGGGTATGTATGTAGTGTGTGTGTGTAGGCTCTCTGTGTGTAGTGTGTGTAGTGTGTGGTGTGTGTGGTGTGTGTGTGTAGGGTGTGTATGTAGTGTGTGCGTAGGCTGTGTGTGTAGTGTGTGTAAGGTGTGTGTAGTGTGTGTAAGGTGTGTGTAGTGTGTGTGTAGTATGTGTAGTGTATGGTGTGTGTGTAGGGTATGTATGTAGTGTGTGTGTGTAGGCTCTCTGTGTGTAGTGTGTGTAGTGTGTGGTGTGTGTGGTGTGTGTGTGTAGGGTGTGTATGTAGTGTGTGCGTAGGCTGTGTGTGTAGTGTGTGTGTGGTGTGTGTAGTGTGTATGTGTAGGGTGTGTATGTAGTGTGTGTATAGTGTGTGTGTGGTGTGTGGTGTGTATGTAGTGTGTGTGTAGGCTCTGTGTGTGTAGTGTGTGGTGTGTGTGTAGTGTGTGGTGTGTGTGTAGTGTGTGGTGTGTGTGTATTGTGTGTATAGTGTGTGTGGTGTGTGTGTAGTGTGTGTGTAGTGTGTAGTGTGTGTGTGGTGTGTGTAGTGTGTGTGTAGTGTGTGTATGTACTGTGTAGTGTGTGTGTGGTGTGTGTGTAGTGTGTGTGTAGTGTGTGTATGTAGTGTGTGTAGTGTGTGTGTGGTGTGTGTGTAGGGTGTGTGTGTAGTGTGTGCATGTACTGTGTGTAGGGTGTGTGTGTAGTGTGTGTAGTGTGTGTGTGGTGTGTGTGGTGTGTGTATAGTGTGTAGTGTGTGTGTGTGTAGGGTGTGTGTGTGTGTGTATGTACTGTGTGGTGTGTGTATAGTGTGTGGTGGGTGTGTGTAGGCTCTGTGTGTGTAGTGTGTGTGTGGTGTGTGTAGTGTGTGTGTAGTGTGTGTGTGTAGTGTGTGTGTAGTGTGTGGTGTGTGTATAGTGTGTGGTGTGTGTGTGGTGTGTGTGTGGTGTGTGTGTGGTGTGTGTGTAGTGTGTGTGTGTAGTGTGTGGTGTGTATGTACTGTGTAGTGTGTGTGTGGTGTGTGTGTAGTGTGTGTGGTGTGTGTGTAGTGTGTGTATGTACTGTGTGTAGTGTGTGTAGTGTGTGGTGTGTGTGTGGTGTGTGTATAGTGTGTGTGGTGTGTGGGTAGTGTGTGTGTAGTGTGTGTGTGGTGTGTGTAGTGTGTGTGGTGTGTGTGTAGTGTGTGTGTGGTGTGTGTGTGTAGTGTGTGTATGTACTGTGTGTAGTGTGTGTGTAGTGTGTGTGGTGTGTGTGTGTAGGCTCTGTGTGTGTGGTGTGTGTGTAGTGTGTGTGTAGTGTGTGTGTAGTGTGTGTGTAGTGTGTGTGTGTAGGGTGTGTGTAGTGTGGTGTGTGTATAGTGTGTGGGGTGTGTGTGGTGTGTGTGTGGTGTGTGTGTGTGTAGTGTGTGTGTAGTGTACTGTGTGTAGTGTGTGTATGTACTGTGTAGTGTGTGTAGTGTGTGTGTAGTGTGTAGTGTAGTGTGTGTGTAGTGTGTGTAGTGTGTGTACTGTGTGTAGTGTGTGTGTACTGTGTGTAGTGTGTGTGTACTGTGTGTAGTGTGTGTGGTGTGTGTGTAGTGTGTGTGGTGTGTGTGTGGTGTGTGTGTGTGTACTGTGTGTGGTGTGTGTGTGGTGTGTGTAGGCTGTGTGTGTGTAGTGTGTGCAGTGTGTGGTGTGTGTGTAGGCTGTGTGTGTGTAGTGTGTGTGTGGTGTATGTGTAGGCTGTGTGTGTGTAGTGTGTGTGTGGTGTGTGTGTGTAGGCTCTGTGTGTGTGTACTTTGTGTGTGGTGTGTGTGTGGTGTGTGTGTGTAGTGTGTGTGTGGTGTGTGTGTAGTGTGTGTGTAGTGTGTGTGTGGTGTGTGTGTGTAGGCTCTGTGTGTGTGTACTTTGTGTGTGGTGTGTGTGGTGTGTGTGTGTAGTGTGTGTGTGTAGTGTGTGTGTGGTGTGTGTGTGGTGTGTGTGTGTAGTGTGTGTGTAGTGTGTGTGTGGTGTGTGTGTGTAGGCTCTGTGTGTGTGTACTTTGTGTGTGGTGTGTGTGTGGTGTGTGTGTGTAGTGTGTGTGTGTAGTGTGTGTGTGGTGTGTGTGTGGTGTGTGTGGTGTGTGTGTGTAGTGTGTGTGTGGTGTGTGTGGTGTGTGTGTGTGGTGTGTGTGTGGTGTGTGTGTGTAGTGTGTGTGTGGTGTGTGTGGTGTGTGTAGTGTGTGTGGTGTGTGTGTGTGGTGTGTGTGTAGTGTGTGGTGTGTGTGTAGTGTGTGTGTGTGTGTAGTGTGTGTGTAGTGTGTGTGTGGTGTGTGTGGTGTGTGTGTAGGCTCTGTGTGTGCAGCGTGTGCGCACGTCTGTCAGTCCCGGCCTGGTGCTAGCACGTCCTGACTCTCCTGTCTCTGCCTGGGGTTTTCTCGCTCGGGGCGGGCGCTGCACCGCTTGAGCCGCGGCGCCATCTCTGGTTTTCTGGTGGCTCACGGGAGATCCGAGTCTCGGGGACGCCCCTGCCCGGGCTGGCTTCGAACCGCGATCCTCGGCCCCAGCCCCCGTGAGGAGCTCCCGACGCGGCCCCTGCCCGGGCTGGCTTCGAACCGCGATCCTCGGCCCCGGCCCCCGTGAGGAGCTCCCGACGCGGCCCCTGCCCGGGCTGGCTTCGAACCGCGATCCTCGGCCCCGGCCCCCGTGAGGAGCTCCCGACGCGGCTCCAGGACGTCTCCCGCCCGCGCCGGCTTTGAACCCGGGCCCCTGGGGCTCAGGCTCCCGCAGGTGCGGGCGGCACGGGTCCTGTCTGTGCGCCAGGAGGACGGGGTGCGGGGGGGGGGGGGGGGGGGGGGGGGGGGAGGCGGGCCCGGGAGGGGGGTGCGGGGGAGTGGGGGGTGCGGTTGATGCGGGGGAGTGCAGGGCAGTGCGGAGGGGAGGTGCGGGGCGGGGGGGGGGGGGGGGGCGCTCCCACAGTGCACCGGGGCAGCCCCAGCCCTGCGCTGGGCGCGGAGGAGCCCCGGCGCCCGGCCCCGCCCCCGGCCCGCCCCCCGGTGACGTCAGCCAGGCCCTGACCAATGCCGGGCGCAGGGGCGGCGGGGAGGCGGGGCCGGGCTGCCGGCGGGGCGGGCTGTCAGCGCCGAGGGCCGCAGTCGGGGTCGGCCCGGCGGCCGGGCCGGGGGCGCGGCCGGAGCCCTGGGCCGGGGGCGAACCGGGCCGGGCCGCCGGGGACGGGCCCGCAGGCCTCCTCTGGGGCTCCGGGCCTCGGGCCGCCGGGGCCGGGGCGCAGCACGCCCCGTCTCGGCCCAGCGGGACCCCATCCCGGCTGGCCCGCGATCGTCCGCGCCCGCCGCAGCGGGGCTCCCCCCGCACCCGTCACCCCGCGGCGCCTGCGATCCGCGCCGCGGCCAGCGGGGGGCGCGGGGGGGCGGGGAGCAGCCCGGGGGTCCCCGGCTTCACCGGAGGTGAAGCAAAGCGGGGGGAGGGGGGACAGCGCCGCACGCCGCACGCGGGGACCGACGCGGGGCCGGAGGGGACCCAAGGCCCCGGCCGCCGCGGCTTCCCTCCGGCCATTCCTAGAGAGTTCCCGCCCCCGGCGCCCCCCCCCCGCGGCCCGCACGGGGGGCCCCGGCGAGACTCAACCCGCATCCCAGAAACCAACTCCGCGGGAGACGCGCGCGCCGGCGCCCGCACCGCGGCCCGCACCGCCGGAGCCAAGGTCACCGGGCGCCGCGCGGAGCGGAGCGGGACGGGGACGCCGCCCCGTCCGCGCGCTCGGACGCACCCCCAAAAGTTGTCCGGGGCGCGGGGCTGCGCGCAGCGCGCACGCGGGCGCACCTCTCCCGCCCGGCGGCGGCTTCCCGCGCGGCGCCGGGCCCGGGCGCGGTGAGCCGGGGGCGCGGGGCGCTCGGGAGCGGGCCGGGCCGGACGTCCGCGCCGACCCATCTGGCCAGGGCGGCCGCGGGGCGCCCGGAGACGAGTCCACCCACTTCCCGTCCTCGCCTGCGGACCCGCCGCGCTCGGACCCCCGAGACGCTTTAGGAGAAGGGCCGGCCCTCCCCGGGACGGGGGTCGCGGGGTCAGCGGGGTCACGGGGCTGGCCGCCCGGTCCGCCGCCATCCCTCAAAAGCAGAGCGGCCGGCGCCCTCCCCAAACCAGAAAGGAGGGGCCCTGGGGGAGGGGGCCGCACCGGCTCCCCGGAACTCCGGGCCCAGAGCCGGGGCGGGGGAACCCCGCGCGGAGCCCGGCCGGGGCGCGCGGGGGGCGCGGGGGCGCGGGACTCACCCAGAACACCAGGTTGAAGAGGAACATCGCGTACTTGAGGCCGCAGAGGCAGCCCCGCGCCATGCTGCACCTCTTGAACTCTAGGAGGAACACAAAGGACAGGTCCAGGTAAAACACCACGTACTTGCTGCCCTGGGGGCCGGCGGGGCCGCGCCGCTCGGCCGGGCCGTAGAAGGCGCCGGCCGTGAAGCCGCCGCCGCCGCCGCCGCGCCCCGCCGGGCGGCCCGGGCCCGACGGCGCGGCCGCGTCCGACGCCTTGCTGTCCGGCGACGGGCTGCGGCCGAGCGAGTCTTCGCTACTCGACTTCTCCATGCTGGGCGCGCGCGCGGGGGGCGCGGGGGGCCGCGGGGCATCGCTCCCGGCGGCGGGCGGCGGGCCCGGGGCGGCGGCGAGCGCGGCCGAGCGGGGGCTCCGCGGCACCGGCACCCGCACCCGCACCGGCGGCGGCGGCTGCACCGCGGCGCTCCTCCTGCGAAATCCCGCGCGGCCCCGGCCGGGCTGCCAACCCGCCCCGCCCCGGCCCCGCCCCCGCCACGCCCCCCGCCGCGGCCGCCAATGGGCGCACGGCTGCGCGGGCGCCGGCCCCGCCCCCTCGCCACGCCCTCCGCCGCGGCCGCCAATGGGCGCGCGGCTGCGAGGGCGCTGGCCCCGCCCCTCGCCACGCCCCCTCCCGGGATGCGGGCCCCGCGGCTGTCAGGGCTGCGGCCTGCGGGCGAACCGCCGCCTCTGTCCGGCAGAGGGCGGGCGTGGGTGCGGGAGGGCGGACGGGGGCGGCGTTCCCTCCCCCCCCGCACGCGGGGCCGGCGAGGGCCGCGGGCTGCGGGAGGCCCGGGTCCCCGTCCCGACCCCGCGCTCAGGCGCATGCGCGGCGCCCGCCCCGCAGCCGGGGCGGGGGAGGGGGTCCCGCCGGGAGGCCCCGTCACGGGCCTGGCGTCCCCGCCCCGCCCGGGTCAGCGCGGCCGGCGAAGGCGACGGCGGGGGGGGGGGGGGGAGGAACCCCACTTCTCCCCGCGCCCCGTGGCGGGCCCCGGGGTCCACCCGCACCTCCCTGGCCGCCCTAGAGGCGAGCGCGTGGAGCCTGCCTTGGTTTACCTTCTGAGCCCCTTCCCGCCCAGGCTCAGCCGGGATCCCCCGGGATCCGCTGCACCGCACGGGCCGCCCCGCCGGCGGCGCCCCCCCGCACCACGGCCGCCACCCGCACCACGGCCTCCACCCCCCCCCTGCACCACGGCCGCCACCCGCACCACGGCCGCCACCCCCCCCCCCGCACCACGGCCGCCACCCCCCCCCCCCCCCGCACCACGGCCGCCACCCGCACCACGGCCTCCACCCCCCCCCTGCACCACGGCCGCCACCCGCACCACGGCCGCCAACCCCCCCCCCGCACCACGGCCGCCACCCGCACCACGGCCGCCACCCGCACCACGGCCGCCACCCGCACCACGGCCGCCACCCCCCCCCCTGCACCACGGCCGCCACCCGCACCACGGCCTCCACCCCCCCCCTGCACCACGGCCGCCACCCGCACCACGGCCGCCACCTGCACCCCACCACGGCCGCCACCTGCACCCCACCACGGCCGCTACCCGCACCCCGCACCACGGCCGCCACCTGCACCCCACCACGGCCGCCACCTGCACCCCACCACGGCCGCCACCCCGCACCCCGCACCACGGCCGCCACCCGCACCACGGCCGCCACCCGCACCCCACCACGGCCGCCACCCGCACCCCGCACCACGGCCGCCACCCGCACCACGGCCGCCACCCCCCCCCCCCCCCCCCCGCACCACGGCCGCCACCCGCACCCCGCACCACGGCCGCCACCCGCACCACGGCCGCCACCCCCCCCCCCCCCCCCCCCCCCCCCCCCCCCCGCACCACGGCCGCCACCCCGCACCACGGCTGCCACCTGCACCCCGCACCACGGCCTCCACCCGCACCACGGCCGCCACCCGCACCCCACCACGGCTGTCCCCCACCCCACGGCCACCCCCCCCCACCACGGCTGTCCCCCACCCCACGGCCACCCCCCCCACCACGGCTGTCCCCCACCCCACGGCCACCCCCCCCACCACGGCTGTCCCCCACCCCACGGCCGCCACCCCGCACGGGCTCTGCCTGGCTGCGGTCAGGGGCCGGCCGGGCTGGGAGAGGGAGCAGCCGGAAAGGAGGCCCGGCCTCACTTCCAGCCTCCTGCAGCCCCCCTCCCCTGCTCCTGGGGCCTGGCGCCCAGGCTACTGGAGGCTGAGATCTGAGGATCACGGTTCAAAGCCGGCCCGGGCAGCAAGGCCCGTGGGACTGTTACCTTCAACTAACCACCAAACCCACAAGTGGAGTCGCGTTCGCGGCTCTAGCGGTAGAGGACCAGCCGGGAGCAGAAATTTAAAAAAAACAAAAGCTCAAGGATAGTGCTCAGGCCCTGGGCTCAAGCTCCAGGATCAGCACAAAATAAATCAAATCAGGGGCTGGAAGGTGGCTCAGTGGTCAAGGGCTCGCCTGGCAGGCTTCAGGCCCTGGGTTCGATTCCTCAGCAACCCCTAAGCAGAAAAAGCCAGAAGTGGCGCTGTGGCTCAAGTGGTAGAGCGCCCGCCTTGAGCTGAAGAGCTGAGGGGCAGCGCCCAGGCCCAGAGTTCTGGCTCCACAACTGATCAAAAAATCACAGCAAATCAAGTAAGTTTCCCAACCACCTGACACGCAGACGCGGCTCTCCCGTGCCCGCCCAGCCCACGCACTGCCTTCGTGGGAGGAGGCTCATCTTTGGAGGCTGCAGGGATCAGGGTTCGCACTCAGGGCCTCTGGTCTGCCGAGCTGGTGTTCCACCACTCGAGCCTCGCCCCCAGTCCAGGTCTGACACACCAGCCTCCAGCACAGCGTGGAACCTGGGCCGGAACCATCCTGACGCCCACAGGCCCGAGCGAGGGACAGAACGGGAGGGGAGCCGAAGGCAGGGCCCGGCCCGGCTGCTCAGCCAGGTGAGCACCATGGCAATAGCTAGGTCCGCAGAAGAAGCTAGGGGTGCAGGAGAATGGGGGGGCAGGACGCACACTCATCCTGTGTCGGGACTTGGGCAGAGAGGCCTGGCCACACAGGGACCCCAGGAAGCCCGGCCCGGCCACAGGGGAGGGGAGAGGGGGGAGGGGAGGGGGGAGGGCTTGCCACAGGCCCTCACACTCACACTCGGGGTGCAGCAGGAGCAGGCAGTGGGAAGGTAATGATACCACCCCCCCCTTGCTCTCCTCCACAGCCCTCGGGGCCCAGGAGGGCCGGGAGGCACAGAGCACCCCCTCTTAGGCCTCTCTCTGCAACGGGAACCCGCTTTGCCTCCTCTCTGCCCCCCATCTTCTAAGCACCCCCCCCACACACACACACAGCCCAGCAAGAACGGAGAGGGAGGGTGTAAAATTCACACCCAGCGCCCTCTGACTGGCGTGGGGGGGGTATGGGGCTCCCCAGAGCCCGGCTTCGGCGCCCTACCTTCACTCGCACCCCCGCCTGCACCCCCTCCCTCCCTCGGGGCCTCCTCGAGAGCGGGACCAGGTGAACGGAGACGGGGGTGGGGGGGGGTGGGGGGGGGACTCACCACCCCACCCACCCACCTTTGGGGTCTTGATGCTCCAGGAAACCCTCCACCACTGAGCTAACTCACGAGCTAACTCAGGCATGGTGAGTGGTCCCTAGCAAGCGGGGGCGGGGGGGAACCTCAAAAATATTCTCCTGGAGCTGGGCCGCGGGGAGGAGAGGGCTGAGGACGGGATTTAGATCGGGTGCGGACCGATCTGATAGCAAAGGCTCTGGGTGCTTCTGCGGGCGGCTTATCTGCGGCTTCTGACTCCAGACTCAGGAGGGAAACAAACTCCTGGGGTGGGGTGCGGGGGGCTTCCGTGGAGGAGTCCCAATCGTGGGGGGACTGTGGCAAAAGGAACGGTGGGGGGGCTTCCTCCAGGGAGGAGGGGGGAGGGAAAATGAGGAAGGAAAAGGAAAGAAAGAGGGAGGGAGGGAGGGAGGGAGGGAGGAAGGCCTTGTGCAGAAGCAAAGCCTACCAGTCCCGCAGGCAATAATTTCCTCTCGGGCTTGGGGATATCAGGAGCCGGGCCCTTAGAGGAGGAGGCCCCGCGTTCACCACCCGCCCTGGCCTCCGGGACCACCCATCCCCTAAAACCCCGGGGCTAACCCCATTTCTCATCCTCAGGCCAGTGGGCCTCGTGAGGTCCCCGGGAAGGGTCTAGAGCGAGAGGCGCTGTGCTGGACAGACGGACAGGCCGGCAGCTCGCCAGGCCCAGGTGCGCGCGTGCCCGCCCGCAGCGCGGAGGAGGGAGGAGGCATTTGTGGCAGGCACTGCTGGAGGAGGCAGGTGCGGGGAGCAGGCTCAGATAAGGCGGCGGCGGGCGGAGGGTGATGGAGCCTGTGGTTTATTGCTATGCACCAGCGGAAATTTACTGACCCAGCAAATCCAATATTCCTGAAGCACCCCAGGAGGACGCGGACCCGCCAGCCGGCCGGGACGCGGGAGAACGCGGGAGCGGACCCAGCATCCAGAGGGCCCGGGCGCCCAGGGACCTCCCCTGCCTCCCCGTCCCCACCCCTGCACCCGGCCCAGGCCAGGAGGAAGAGGAAAAGGTGAGGAGAAGCCCAAGGAGCACTCAGCACTGTCCGCAGTCCAGGAGGTGGTTGGAGACGCCGGGCTTTGTGGCTCCCGCCTGTCATCCCAGCTACTCAGGGGGCTGAGATCTGAGGATTGCAGTTCAAAGCCAGCCTAGGCAGGAAAGTCCATGAGACTCTGATCTCCAATGAAGCACCAGAAAACCAGTAGTGGTGCTGTGGCTCAAGTGGTAGAGCGCCCGCCTCGAGCTGAAGAGCTGAGGGATATTGTCAGATGCCCCGTGATCCTTTCCCGGCTCTGCCTTGGGTCAGGGGTCTTTGCCTGTCTAAGACCCCCCCGGGGCAATCAGGTGCTGGGAAATCCCCAGCCCTTGGCCCATGCTTAGGGAATCTGAAAGGAAACCAACGGTGCGTCTCCTCCGCCCTCAACAGCCCTGCGCCTGTGTGCAGTGGAGACACTCCGCCGGTCCTTCTTCTTGTTGCCCACCAGGCTCAGCCAGCCACCAAACCACAGCGGGGCTCACGGCCCAGCCTGCGGCTCAGAGACTGCGGCATCCCCCCCCACCCCGGTCCCAAGAGACACTTCCATATCCAGGGCCTCCCCTCCCTCCCCCACCAGGGCACCCCTCCCCTCCCCTGGCCCAACTCTGCGTCATCTGGGCAGGAGGTGTGCAGCTGTTTGTGCCCAGGACACACGCACTGAGTGAACAG